ATGATAATAGAGTTGCATTCACTAAACTCACGGTTTCTTTCCTAAAACATAACCCACAGCAACTGCAAACTGGGGCTGATGCAAAGCTGATACTCAAGCTGTAGGCATTGCTGTGTAATAAAATCCTTTGTTTTTGATCAAAGAGATTGTGTCTTCTGACAGAGACCCTAGAACTGTGGTAGACTAACGTGTTAGTTTACAAGTGGTACAAAACTGCAGACCATTCATGTTCTTGATACTGCCCAGCTATGAGTCCAAGGGGCTGGGTCAGGAGAAAGACACCATAGGAAAGAAAAGGTGCAGCAGGCTGTCGCTGTGCGCCTGGGGACATAGACATGAAAGGAAAGCTAAACATCCACTCCACAAAACTCTGGAATTCCCATACTTGGTTCCTTTCCTGACAAAAATCTACACCAATTCAACCAGCTCTGTGACAACAGCAAAGGTTCAACAAACTCTTTGAAAGCTTAATAATGTTTCTGACACTCTAGCAAAGTATGGCTCTAACCACAGAAGAAAAAGGACACACACAAACAGAAAGAGAAAAAGAAAGAGAGGAGAGAAATGAGACTAGCAGATAATATTAAGGTATAGCAGAAGCTAGAGATTGGTTCACCCATATTTATTCCAACCCTTTTCTACTAAAAAAGACCTGGCCAACAAGAGGGGACAATTACATATATGAAGACAGGACCATGTGAAGAAAGCTTTGATGCTCTACTGTCTGTCCCTAGTGTCTCAGGTGCTAACCAGAGTAGAATGTTGGGAGTGGTGTTTCCATTAGAACATCCCTAGATGTGGTTTCTGACATTTCTTCCTTTCATTTCTTCTGGTTATACACTACCCACACATGGTTCTCTGGGCCTGCCTGAACACGATTATCTGTGAGGCACCCAGCACCATTTCCTGCTTAACTTACTAGGGTAGATTATGCTGCTTAAAGCTGAAAACCTCATCCACTACACTTGAAAAAAAATGTATATCTATTTTAACGCCAATATTTATATCCGTACTTCTTTCCTGATAGTAAGAACCTCTAAGACCTGAACATAATTTTGGGTTACTTCTGGTACTCAGTTTTTTACATTTTCACTGTGCTGTTGGGGGCTGGACAGAGCACTGCAGGGCAGTAGAAGTATGCCCATTCTATCAGAAACATAAGCAGCCAAATTATCCTCTTTATTATTATCAGACTCAAGAAAATCTAACAATCTTCCTTTAAAAAGTACTTTGTTAAAAATATACTTTGCAAGAAAAGAATAATGAATTTTTATTAATTTTACTACCACCCATTTCCTGCAATATAAAAACAAATAATTGGGTTCTATTTTATTCAGCAACAAACAAGTTTTATTTTTAATTTGGTGATCTGCCAATATCACCCAAACTAGTATAATTTAATATATGCAAATTATATAGTTAGTAGAGTAAAATGGGCACTTACAGCCATAGCTTTAAAGGAAAATTGATAACCATCTCGCTTTAAAATATATTTTATAGAAAAGTCCAAAGCACTCAAAAAGGAAAGTATTTTTAGATATTACTAAAGTGCTCCTTTATCATTTTAAACACAAGTACAGCACAATCAGCAATCCCAGAAAAGAGAATCTCCCCTCTCCCTGCCCCCCAAAAAATACCTATCTAGAAAATGGGAACTTCTAACTGTTAACTTAAGGTTGCCACCTCCTAGCTATTCCACCCATTACACTTCATAATAATAAGAAACCTCAATTAAAAAGTAAAAATTCACAATAAAATGGATGAGTAGGATGAGTAACAATTGTTTCCACTGTCTACATTCTTAACCAAGAGCATGCAAATTTAACCTGAACTTATCCTAAAAATGAGAAAGAAGTTAATTTAATTGATACTACAATGACTTTTCATTTATCAATGAAAATTAAACTTTAAGAATAATGTCAAGAAATTTATTTTAGTGTTTATAGGGCATCAAAAAATAACATTACTAACCATAAAAGAAAATATAATTACTTACAACCAAGACAATTAGTCTCATTAAAGCAAGTATAACCAGCCACCTATATCTTGGTAAAGGAATTTCACAAGAATTGAATTAAATACATGACTTCTACAACTATTAAAGGAAAATGCTGGGACTAGCCCCTCTCCTCTCCACCCTTTATCCCCTTAGATAAATATGAAAAATAAGCAGTTAGTAAAAAGAAATTTTCTCTACAAACATCCATAGCTACATTTTTCATAATAGCTAAAAAATGGAAACATCCTGAACCTCCAAGTGACAAATGATAAACAAAATGTAATAAACATCCACAGAACAGAGTATTATTTGCATTTAAAAAATGAAGTTCTGATACCTTATAAACATGGATAAATCTTGAAAATACTATACTAAGTGAATGAAACCAGTCACAAAGGACCAGAAATTTCATGATTTCATTTATGTCAAATGTCCAGAATATGAAAACCTATAGAGATAACAGATTAATGATTGCCTAGCGCTAAGGGATGAGCAGTTTCTTTTGGGGGTGAGGAAAATGTTCTAAAATTGTAATGAAGATTGAATAATTCTATGAATATACATAAAAACACTGAACATATACTTTAAAGTGGGTAAATTATATAATGTGAATTTATGTAAGTTTATATAAAGCTATTTTTAAAAAATCACTTCAAAACCATATCAAGTCTTTTGACATACATATATTTTTTAATTTCTTCATGTCTCGGTAACATCTTGCATTAGAGTATACCCAGACCAGGAAATTGAGATCGGCACAATCCACAGAGCTTACTCAGACTATATCAGCTTTACACTCAAGTGCATTTATGCTTGTTTAATTCTATGAACTTTTATCCCATGCATAGATTTACATAACCATCACTATAATCAAGACACAAACTGTTTCAATCACACAAGACTCACTCCTGCTATTTCTAGCAGGCCATAAAGGCCACACTCAACACCTTCTCAGACCCAATCCCAAAACTTTGGAACTATTAAACTGTTTTCCAGCTCTATAATTTGGTTATTTGAAAAATATCATATAAAAGGTATCCGACAATGCTTAACCTTTTAGAATTGGCATTTTCCAATTAGAATAATTCTTTGGAGATCATGCAAGTTGTATGTATCAATGTTGCTGAGTAATATTCTATGGAATGGCTGCACCACAGCTTAACCATTCGACAGTGTTCAAGGACTCTGGGTTGTTTCCGGTTTGGAGTTATGACAAATACGGCTGCCATAAAAATTTGTGTATGGTTTTTTGTGAAATATAGATTTTCATTAACCTGGGATAAATGTTCAAGAGTATAATTGCTGGGTTGTACAGTTAATACCAATTTTAATATCAACACTGGTAATGTTCCTGAAAAAAAAAAATGAGGATCACTTCCAATCTCCACTCTCCACTGACTTTGTTTAATTTAACAAAATTACTTTTTATGGCTGGCTTTTACTCAACAATTCTGCTAAAAGACCAGGCACTGCACTAGCATTTTAAATATATTATCCTATGTGATACTTGCATCAACAATGAGCCAAGTATTGATATTAATTACCTCCATCTTACAACTGAGAAAACTGAGCTATAGAAGAGGTTTGGGGTTGATCCAGAGTCATGCAACTAGCGTATGAAAAGCTGGAACCTAAATTCAACCCGGCCTGCCTCAGACGTCTGCTCCTTTCACCACAAGACGCTACACCTAGTAAGACACTTCTATAGCATGTATGTAATTGATTAGATACAAAAAGTGTATATTAGTACAAAAAAATCTTCGTTTAAGGGATAAAGTTCAGATGTGCCCATTACATCTAATAAATGAGATTTTAAAAATTGGACATGATCTCTAATATGCTGCAAAAATAAACAAAATTAATCTAACAATCTGACATTTGGACAAATATATGCAAAAATTAACGTGAGTACTGGATGAAAATTCACATAAAGTAATTGTTCAGTTTTTCTCTATGAAGTTTCTTTTAGGTTTACTCTTCATTAACATTGTGGTGATTAGGAAACCTGAGGATAGATGCAAAAGGTAGCAAAGAAGGAAAAGGAGGGTGATGACGTATGAATTCAAAGAGCCTACCACACCAAGCAAGTGAAAGAGCAAAGTTTGTGTTAGACGTGGGTAACACGTCCCGGATCCTTTCATTGGCAGGCCCTCCAATGAGCCCAGATGAGTAAGGAGGGGCTATTTCTTAGAGGCTCCATTAACTGGACTCACGCAACAGGGATGTACACTCACAGCTTCACACCTGCCTACTGCCCAGAAACAAATCCCAGCAAGAGGACTCCTCACCAGCCACTCACAACACCGTCATCAGACACATCATCGTCACAAACACCATCATCAGAAATATCATAATAAATTTATTAACTTGACAGTTCCTAACATTTTCCAAGTTTTTTGTGAGAAATATTTTTATCAACATTTCCTCCAATATACTTACACTTGATTAACAATGATTTTAACAATAACGGTACAAAAACTCATCTCTTTTCTTAAGGAGAAAGTAAATGAATACTAGGCAGCTTGGATACTCTAATCTTTAATTCTAAATGTGACTTTTTGGGAGCACTTAAATCTTTTTGAAAATCTGCGTAAGTGTACCATGGGCATCACTATTACTCATGTAAACTTTCAATATTTCAGACATAAAAACTAATACAAGAGGCCATTATGAGAAATTGCCAAAATTTCTTCAAAATTATAGTCATCAACTTTTGAAACTAACATAAAATAAACAATTTGTGGAACTATAATTATATAGTTTACAGAGAAACCTAGTATAGTCAACTTCTAGGAAAGTAACCTATGGAAATAATTATAGGTGTATACCAAGTTGCATCTGTAAGATAAATTATGATGTAGAATAAATTAGAATACTATATACACTCCTTTTAAATGGTATAAAATAGTAAATGGCATACAAGATTTCATACTATAGTATTAAATATAAACCAGTCAGAAAACAGTTACAAAGTAATGTGCATGATACACGTGACACCTACTTGCAGCTGAACTGAATTGTGCTGTAGACCTTTCACAATAGAAGAAAATCTGTCAATTCTTCTTTCTTCTCCAGCTGATGTTAAAGCTTCTAAAACTTCTTCAAGGCTGTTGGAAATTTGAATTTACTAATTAAACTGCAAACAGTGAATAACCCAAATGCCATAATCCAATTGCTTGATTTAATAAACTCTGTAGTTACTACTTTTTCCAGGCAACCAATAACATTTTAAAAGTAGCTTACCCGGTATGTATCAGTAGTCTCCATAGCATGTATCAAGCAATGCTCTAAGCATGTTACACATTTTGATTTATTTATTCCTCATAACAACCCTATGATGATGCTTATTTATCAAGCATTTATATAGTGCTTACTACACATCAGGCACTAATTGAACCAGTTTATAAACAGTAACTCATTTTAATGTCTGTAATTTCATGAGATAAGTATTATCATTATCCCATATTACAAATTGGGCAACTGAGGCAGAAAAGGTTAACCAATTTATCCCCCAAATACTAAATGGTAGAGCAAGGATCTAAAACCAGATGGTCTGTATAGTAAGCACCTTATAAATGCTCATAACCACTACACTCTACTTCCTCTCAAATAAACCAAAGTTCTGGTAGCTACAAATATATAGTAGTAAGAAATTACAGTTCAAATATAAAAAGATAATAGTTATGCAGGAACTATACTGGCTCCTTTAAAACAAATAGCTATATTAACAGGACTGAGCAGATTGTAGAAGCTCACACAGTTTCATAGTTTACGAACACAAACAGGTAGTCCTAAGAGCTATCAATATTTATGTCATTTTGAGTCCTATTCTAAAATCAAAAAATAATAAAATAATATGGAATTAGGGGAAGAGGAAAGAGGGGGGAAATGAGAAAAAAAGAAAAAAAGGAGAGAGAGAAAAAGAGGGAAAAGAAAGAGGAAAAGGAAGAAGAAAGGGATAGGGAAGAAAAAGGAGAGAGAAGCAATAGGAAGTGTGGGAGAAAGGGAGACAAAGGAAGAATGGAAGGAGGGAGGAGAAGGGAGAGAAAGAAAGGGAGAGAGGGAGCACAGAAAGTATCTTAAATGACAACATAAAGTTCAGTCTGGAAGGAAATTTGACTTGGGGTGGTGAACACACAATATAATATATTGATGATTTATTATAGTATTGTACCCTTGAAACCCATATAATTTTAATAACCAACATCACCCCAATAAGTTCAATAAAAAAGACATTAAATTCATTCTTAGGTTTCTACACCAAAATTCATATGGTCTTTTTAAAATGGGAAAAGGAAAAGGCCGAGGCTGTGTGCGAGCTTTGCACGCTGAGATTGCAGCTGGGACAACCTCGTCCACAGATACTCTTGTTAGGTGCGTAGAGGGGCAGAACGGCAGGGCTGAGTGCTGTCTATTGACTCTCCAACTAAATCCAAATGGAGTGGTTCTACAGTCACCAGCCACAGCCAGGTCATCCCAAGGGCAATTTTCCAATGTGGGCAGGAGGTTACAGGGCTGCGCTGGGTTTTACATGAGAGGGCTATTTCCTTTTGTCTCTGGTTTTTTGGTTTTTAGATCTTTATGCTTTTCAAAAAACTTTTAAAGTAATTTTTAAATGGCTCCTTGTAATAAGAACCCCCAATCTTCTTTCTAAAAAATAGTTCATCTTTATAATTATCTTTTAATATGTATGTAATAGTCTTTTAGTTACAGCCCTAACATGTGAATAACGTCTTTAAAAGCTTCAGTGTATATTTTATGGTCAAGAACTATGTATTCTCAACCAGTAAAATACAGTTTCATGTGTCACTTTCTAAATCTGCCTTAGATACCGATTTTCAAATAGTATGATATTTGCTTTTTATAAGGGAATATACATGACCTATACTTTGAATTAATTCTATCTGAAAAAAATAATAAAACATATGAAGCAGAACTCATTAGCATATTTTTCAAATCTTCATTCAGAATTTTTTATTTAGGGTTTGAGTTCAGAACAGTTTAAAATAAATAAAATGAAGAAGTCAATACCTCACGGCCTATATCAGGGGTCCCCAAACCCTGGGCCATGGACCAGTACCAGTTCATGGCCAGTTAGGAACCGGGCCACACAGGAGGAGTGGGGAGCAGCCAGCGAATCTCCACCTGTATTTTCAGCCGCTCCTCACGGCTCACATTACCGCGTGGGCTCTGCCTCCGGTCAGATCAGTAGCCGTATCAGATTCTCATAGGAGCACAAACCCAACTGTGAAGAGCATGCACAGTGGGTCTAGGTGGCACGCTCCTTATGAGAATCTACTGCCCGCTGATCTGAGGTAGCGCTTAACTAGCTCTATAGCCACACTGACACTAGCATTGGGAAGTGGTTGCAGACACAAATTATCATTAACAGAGATGTTTGATTGCACAGAGACCATAATAAATCAATTGCTTGCAGACTCAAATCAAAACTCTATCAGTGAGTGGCAAGTGACAATCAAGCTGTATCTGGTGGCAGGCTATAAAGCCATCTGCTACCCGCCGTCCGTGGAAAAATTATCTTCCATGAAACTGGTCCCTGGTGCCAAAAGTTTGGGGGCTCCTGGCCTAAATGAATCTAAATCGGTTGCTTAAGTGTACTTCATTTATTTAAATTCCAGTCTAAAACAGAATAATGAAAACATTAAATAAATCATATTGTATTATATCATTACATAATAATAGAAATAAGTTCAGAAGACTCACGTGCTTTCCTCCCCTACAATGCACACCGCAGAGAGGAGTTTGGCCACATCTGCCATCATGCTGGGGTGCTCAGGATCGACAGCTCTGGCTAATAACGAAAGACTTCGCTCTTCACTCATAATTCTTTCCAAGCCATACTATAACATTTTGGAAATAAGAAGTTAAAAGTTTACAATTAGTTTTTTAAAAATAGTGTTCTGAAGAAAATGCAGTTATTAAAAAAGTGTTTATTGAATAATTTTACAATTAATAAAGCTAAAGAATATAAAGAATGTATAACATCCTAAAAAAATTCATGAAGTATACAATTTACATCAAGAACTATGAGAACCAACCAAATACAGAGAACCACTCAAACATGATTTTACACCGATACAGACTGATAATTATTAACATAGGTAAGTGGTCAACTGGAAGAAGTAAAGCAGCAGTGTAAAATACTGAGACTTCCCAACAGAAACATACAAAATAAAAAGTCAGACAGCGAAGCAGACAATAAGGCCATCAGGATTCTTCCTGGGAGGGAAGATTGGTAAGAGATGCACGACAAGAAGCCACACACTATCCCAGAGAAATACACTGAGAGCTGCATGTGCAAAGCAAAGTTTACAAGCAAAAAGGAAAATTCATGTAATAAATTTTATTTCAGTATATCCAAAATAATAACATTTCAACATATAATCTAAATAAAACATTCATTAATGAGACATTTCACTTTTTTTCTCCCTAAGTAGTACAAATCTAGTGTGTATTCTATACTTACAGCACATCTCAACTCAGACTAGACACATTCCAAATGCTGAACAGCCACATGCATAGAGCCAACCACATTATACAGTGTAGGCCCAGAGAGTAACACCTCGTTCAAAAATGGGAAAAAGCTGAAGGATGATTCGGGCATATACCATATAGAAAGTGCCAGAAGGAGCATATGTATTCTGACTGGAATATTTATCATCAGAAAGACAGTGCAGTTGTAAACACATTATAAAAATGGGATGATTTGGCATTTGAACAAAGTTTGTTTGCTACTGCCAAGATGTCACATCCAATTAGAAGATAAGAAGTTACGTTAATGACTAAGGATACAAACGTCTCTTAAGGCCCCTTTATAAACTATGGAAGACAATTATCAAATAACAAAGAATTCAGAAAAGTAATAAAACAATACTATTTATCTACCAGAGAATCCTCTAGAAGTGAAAATTGGATGATTATAGTTACTCCAAAGAATTAAAAAAGGCCTTATCCCAATTACGAACCTATGAACTATGGCTTACACTAAAAATTAACACTAGACATATGTGTCATAGTTGAATCTATAACAATCCAAACGTGTTGAGTGTTATGAGGTTTTAGTTATAACTTTCCTACTGTAAATTTCACTTATGTAAAGAAATCTTCACATTGTACTGGAATACAGCATTTAGACCACTATCTAGGGAACAGGTACAAAGAAGGAGGGACAGACAGAGGATCAAAAGCACCAGAACATGATTTTGCTAAAGACTTCTCTTTCTTGGTGGTGACTGGGAAAAGTTACAGAGACAACTACACTGGCCAGGAAACGCTCACTTCTGTGATTTTTGGGGTTTGCTTCATACCTGCAAATAAAGAATAAAAAAGCAGGCATGGAACCAGTGACTACAATATGCCTTGAGAATCATTCCAGGGGCTTATAAAGTACTGCTTAAGTCCAATTCAAAAAGTCGATCGGTCAAAGATTACAAAGTACCAAAGGATTGGCTCTGTCCTCAGAAACCTGCAGATTGAGAAAAGCCTGCCTCCAGCATGTTCCCCTCATTTCCCACCCTCTGGGTGTCCTTAGCCAGAACCTGCCTTCCTGGAATCAGAATCCTGTGGCTCCTCAAGCCACTCAAGGAATTTTCATATTGATTTCCTGTGACTAACACTAAGCTACCTTCTCTGGCAAGCCATAAACCATCATGTACAAAGGACAGAATATCAGCATTCTCTGATCTCATGGTTTTGCCCATTACCCTGCGACTCCTAAAGCTCCATCATAGGCAGTATTCTCTCGAGTTTGCTAATGTAAAAATGTATAGTTATCAGTTTAAGTATGGAATGAGGCCAGTTGTCAATATTCAATACCTAGAACTGAAGAAATTTTTGCTGCCTACTTATATAAAACTATTCTCATTCAATTACGTAAAACACAAAGCAAAGGAAAACAAAAAATGTCGACTTTATGAGAGATATAGCCAACTTACCAGTACTGGCATGTGCAGTGCATTAAGTGAAGGCTCTTATAAGGTTAGAGAGGTGGTGACAACTTTGGAAGGCCTAAGGAAGTCTCTTGACTGAATGTCAAAGATCCAATCTAGATTCTATGAAAACTAACGTTCTAAACTGAGGACTAATGCCAGGTTCCATCTGCATTCTACATGAGGCCTATTATTACCCAATAGATGGAACTCCAGGCCAATGAAGAAGTGATAGGTAGGGGAAGGTTAGTGCCCCAAATCCCCTGTGGAGGATGCCCAACACTACATGCATGCTGGTGCTGAACAACTCCCCCGCCCCTCCCCACGCCAACACCTGTGAATTAATCCCAACAGCAGAAGCCATGCGGGGAGAGGGGCTGGCTTCAGGAGCAAAGCACCTTTGCGGGGGGATGTACATCTCTAAGCCACACACAAAAAGTTAACTGACCAAAGCAAAGCCCTTCTTCTAAGGACCTTTTAGTTTTAATAAATTAACTTTTCATCCTGACTTATTTTCTTCCTAATAGTCACAATCTTTTCTCATTAAAAAAAATATTAGTCCACTTTAGTGTTATAAGAAATTTGCTTTCATATATTATCAAATTTGCTTATTATATAATTACTAGTTCAAAATAAGGTACCACACTTTTCTCTCTTAAAGTCTACATTATTCATTTTCAATAATCTCTTATAAAGGCTGCACAATGAGGTATAGAAAAAAAATTATCACCAGGACTTCAGAAAGAATAAAAAGCTTTACCAAAAATTTCAGTCACAATATAATACTAATTCCAAGTATCAATAACTTAACTTTTCATTCTTATTAGCACACATGGCATGAATGAATACAAACAGCAATATATCTCAGCTCCACATATGCAAACTGTAAGCAACACAATGTTATTGTAAAATGTCACATTATATTAATTAGAATATAAATACATATGGTTTACTCCTTCTCCTATCCAGTTTCAAAACAAGTAAGATATTTTCAATATGCCATCTCACTTTAACCATGACACTCTTCCCAAGTTAGGTTCCACCTGTCCCTCTGGTTGGAAAAAATGTTTCTGGGTTATCTCTACTCTCAGACTTCCCACCACTAGTGAAATGTTCAAATTCTCTAATTTCACTTTCAAAGGCGCTTCCTAAAGTAGAACTATGTACTGACAATGTGAAAAGACCTCTCCCTATCAGCAGTTTCTCATTTCTTTATTCACTTATTCTCATATTCTACAAAATACCTAAAACATACTTCTCACAGAAAAATGGAAAGACTTTTGATTTCTATATCAGATATCTTCCTTTAAAATTTTATCTAATTAGAAGGGCTGAGGGAGGAGAAAAATATTTCATTGGTTAAAAGTAGAAAACTTAACTCCAGAAAATGCTAAAAAAACACATAAATAATTCAGCAAAATAAAAATAATTAGAAAACATAAATATTTACTACATTTAGTAAAAATACATAAAATAAACGTTAATAATTTAAATATCAGTACTTGAGTGTGAAGTCTTCTAAAGGTTTATTCTAAAACTCAGAATGAGGAAAAATATTAAAAATAAAATTAATCAGAAATATAGAGTTTGCTGCAAAACACAAATCATCACACCGTCCTAAGTACAATTTCCTCTCCCGCTGTCTAACAGCAACTAAAATACCTATCATTACTCACACATCATGAGGTAAATGCATTTAGATGTTGGAGCTAAAGACATGGCACTGGGCAGAGAAATTTCTTCAATTAAGAGTATAAAAGAAACCCTTTCAGAAAATCTAACTTCAGTAGAGAGCTTAAAGTATTTCTCTCTTCTAATGTTCCCTCTTTAAATATGCAAACTCTGCAGATCCATCATTTTGTATTTGGTATCAATAATATGCATATTATGCATAACTGCTCCCTTTCTGGGACCTGTTTTATCTATTTTCATTAATTGCATTATAGAGTTAAATTCCTAAACTATAAAAATTAAGTCTTTCCAACTTGATTCTTTGATAATAAATATTAGTGCAAACCTCATTTAATAATCATGTATAATTCCAAAGGTGATTCATGCTATAGTTTTGAAAATTAAGAGTGAGCGAGAGGAAGGGAGTAAGGAAGGAAGAAGTGAAAAGAACAAAAAGAAGGACAGAAAGGGAGGGAGAGAGACAGGGAGGGAGAAAGGAGGGAGAGAACTAATCTACACATGAGAAGTTAAGGGCCAAAAGAAGGTCCGTTCATCCCCAAGCTTCTCCACTGGGAGACAGTTTTTTTTACACAAAACTGAAAATTATACAATTCAGTATTTTTTCTATTATGTACTAAACAGCATATCAAAGCAATATATCACTTAATCACAAATTCTTTATTATACAACTCTAATTCTTAAAAATTCTAGGAAGAACCAGTGAAGAACGAATATAATATCATTAACCATGTACACACCTGGGTATTCATCAAAGCCTTTAGACACTGTATGACTTTGTGCTGATTCTTCTTTACAATTTTTTCTTGTCTGCATTGGCATAAAAGATATCAGTATTAGAATTATAATTGGACATGAAAGTGTAGCTTAAATGAAAATAACCAGCAGTACTTACATTTTGCTACTAATCAGTTTTTCCAAAATGTCCAGTAATAATCCGAGCCCCTCATGTCCGAAACTTTGTACCCAACTGAAAAACAAGAAAAAGGGTTGTTATATATTAAGTTAGTATTCTCAGCTTGGAATATCACAATACTATCACATATATTTTACAACAGTTATATTCTAATCATAAAAACAATATCGGAATAACAGCTTGTACAAATCATTCATAATTCATGCTCTTAGTTGTCATAGAAGGAGTAAAAATGCAGCAAGCTAGTGGTGTGCATCCTTATGATTGCTGAAAATTTCCCAAGTTTCAAAGTTCAATTTTTTTTAAGCGTCTTCATCATTTTTTAAATGACTATTTTCATCCTTACATATCTATTCTGTAAGCCCATAGATATAGTCACAGAACTGTATTGTAATTAGGACATTACTGCCAACAGACAACAGCTCACCTAGATTATAGAAAACCTACCTTCATAGAAATTAATACATTTTTTTCTAGTGGTGATTTGGAATGCCTAAGTCAATAAATAAATAATAACCATCTGTTTTCAAAAGTTAGTAGAAGAAAGCAAAAAATAAGTGTGTATACATGTTTGTACATATCTTTGTTTATATGTATGATTTTATGTGTGAGCATATATAGGTGTGTGGCCTTTGAGAAATGAAATGTTGCCCTGGCCAGGGTGGATCACCGGTTCGGCATCATCCATCAAACCAAAGGGTTGTTGGTTTGACTCATGGTTAGGTTACTGGTCAGGGGCACATAAATGGGTTGCAGGTTCAGTCCCCTGGGGCATGTATGGAAAGCAACAAATCGACGTTTCTCTCTCACATCAATGTTTCTCACCCTCTTACTCCCTCCCTCTACCTCTCTCTAAAATCAAAATGAAAATGAAATGTAAAGAAGAAAAAGAAAAATGAAATATTAAAAACAAAATTTCCCTCAATAATCAAAAACAGCACATTATAAAGAATAAAAACAAGTCATATACCAGGATATAATACTGTTTTCTTACTTAAGTTACAATATAACATTTCCCATGAAAATAAGAAGGGTAGAAACCAAATGCAACATTTTCTATGAAAAATAAAAATATTATTTAAAAATCTACCTTCATTTGTACACATCTGTGAACACAGTTTAATCACCTATAAGTATTCAGAATTTCTGATTTTACCACCCCGCAAAAAAGCACCTTGTCATTTAGATTGCAAACTTTTATCAGATTTTTACTTGTCTCTTCTCTGTGAAAACCATGGAACAACTAATTCAAGAATGCACTAAACAGTAACAATACTCGTCTGAAAAAGAAAAGACTGAAGATCACTATCATAGTTAAGGGGAGAAAAAAAAAAGTTAAAAAGAAGTTGGTGTTTTCAAACCAGAATGCTACATCAAAAGTGAAGAGTTTACTCTGTGCTATCAGCAGCAGACATTATTACCTGCAGGCATTTCAATTCCTGCTTTCATGTTTCAGGAAAACACCCAGGGCATCCCGCTTAACTATTTGTCTTGTTGTCTCCTATTCTGTATTTATTCTTATTTCACATGCAGCAGGGAGCTCGAAATCAAACGCATAAGGAGTAATTTAAGTTTTACTTGGGCTGGCACTGACATGTGCAGACAGGCTCTGTTCACCAGGCCCTCCTGTGGGACTTCGGTGTTTTGTTTGAAGTGAATTTTCAGCAATCTCTATATTCAAAAGTATAACCATAAAAATATTCTAAAACTAATAAGAACGGTTTAGGGTGATTCTTACCACTATCATCTTCAATCATTGTGGACAATAAAGTTACTATTCCTAAAACTACCTTATACCAATAAACACAAATTTAAAATTATGTTAATATAGCAAAAAGACTGGTGAATTTAATACACTTATCTGGGAATCCACTGTACAGTTGTAGAGTTTAGAAAACATTTTACCCCAGGTAAACAAGATAAAACTTCTGATCTGAGGAAGAGAATCAAGACGGTGGAGGAGTGAACAGAAGTAACACTGACCTCCTCTCAGGACCAATATGGAATTACAACTAAATTGTGGAGAAATCACCTGGAACAAACAACTGAACAATAGCAAGAAAGGAGCCTTAGAACCTCGGACAGACAGAAGAATCAGCTTTAGTACAAGCTGATTGGTAAGGAGTGCAGTAGAGATTCTAGAAGGCAGGCCGGGTGCCCACGGGCAGCAGAACCAGAAGTATATTGAAACAGCCAGTTGGATTCCCCCTGTGATGCCTCCAAGCCAGCCTGCTGAGTGCAGAGTGACTAGATTAACAGTGGAAGGAGACAGCCACAGACAGTAGTTTCCTAGAAGTCTCAAATAGACTGCCTAAGATCAGACAGGGTCAACATCTGACATAATCAGAGGTAGAACCAGAAAAATAAAACACCAGTCTCCTACCATAGAAGTTCACACCACAAAGTCAGGAAATCAAGACAGAGCAATTCAAGAAGCAGAAGCAAAAAAGAAGAGTCTCACAAATAATGGGAAGAAAAAGAAACACCCCCAATCGAAGGAATAGGAAGAATCCCCAGAAAGAACACTAAATGAAATAAGAGGCAAGTAAACTATCAGACAATGAGTTCAAAAAAACGGTCCTAAGGAAGCTCAATGAGCTCAGAGAAAATTACAAAAAACTACAGGGAAACTACGAGGGACTTACTGCAAACTATATCAGCATGAAAAAAGGACATAGAAACTATCAATAAGAGACAAGAGGAAATGAAGGAGACAATTTCTGAATTGAAGAACACAGTAGAAAAAATCAAAAGCAGGCTAGATGAAGCAGAGGAATGAATCAGTGAGCTGGAGGACAAGGTAGAAAAAAGCTCCCAGAAAGAGCAAGAAAATGAAAAAAGACTCAAAAATAATGAAGAGGCATTGAGGGAAATACAGGACAACCTGAAATGTAATAATATCTGTATAGTAGGGATACCAAAAGGAGAAGAGGATGAGGAAGGGACAGAGAACCTGTTTGGAAAAGTAATGATGGAAAACTTCCCTAACTTGAGGAGAGAAAAAGTCACACAAGTCCAGGAAGCATAGAGGGCCCATTCAAGAGGAACCCAATCAGGCCCACTCCAAGACACATCATCATGAAAATGGCAAATATCAAACATGAAGAGAGGATCCTAAATGAAGCAAGGGAGAAACAGGTAATAACATATCAGGGAGCCCTGATACGGCTAGCAGCTGACTTCTCAACAGAAATACTACAAGCCAGAAAGGAGCGGCAAGAAATATTCCAAGTCATGAAAAGCAAAGGCATGCAACCAAGACTGCTCTACCTAGCAAGGCTCTCAATTAAAATGGAAGGCAAAGTAAGGAATTTCCCAGACAAAAGAAGGCTAAAAGAATACACCTCCACCAAACCAGCATTGCAAGATATGCTAAAGGGACTGCTTTAAGAAGATGAAGAAAAAGAATCTATGAAAACCCAGTTCCTTTCACAGTCACCAATACTTGATATCACCAGTATTTTTAATGCTTATTAATCTGACTGTGACAACAATGTGTTATCTTTTTACTTTATTGTTTGTTGAAACTAAACCTGTTTTTGTATATTTCTTGCCTATTTCTTTTATTTTTAAAAAGCTTTAAATGACTTTTTTGTATTCTTTATCCATTTTTTGATTAACTGTTTGTATAATTTTTTCCCTAAATAAAAACAGCTATTAACCCTTTTTTAGATGTGTTGCAAATACTTTCCTAATCTATTACGTTGGGAACAGTCCCACCTGGTTTCAGGGACTATAGCCTGGCCACCAGATGAGAGGACCCCAAGGCTGGAGCTGAGCAAGGAGACCTTGGAAAAATAAGCCACTGAGGAGACAAAACCTGTCCCCCTGGCATGAGTGCAGCCCCTGCCTCCCTCATATCACCCTGTTTGGCCCACCCTGATTGGCCCCAGAGGATGACTGGTTAGTCAATGACAGGTAAGACCCCTCGATGGCAGGGGCAACCTAAGACAAGCACAGATGCATAGGGGCCATCATGGGAAGGACTTGAGGAACACGGTGAAGAGGAAAAAGACCCTCACCCCTAGGCTTTGATATGGCCAGAGTGCTCATTCTTTCTCAACGAAGTCTCTTTATGTCTTGGCAGCTCTGCCCCACCCACCTGGCTCAGGCTTCAAACAATACTAGAGGCAGATACAGCCCTAAACTGGACTGGGCCGTTCTGGGGGGCAAGGGGGGAGGTGGAAACATAGAAGTAAGTTCCTTGAAGCATGCTTTGTTCTTCCCTCAAAAGCCATGATAACCAGCTTCTGCTGAGAAGGAAATTTACATTATTCACCAACCCTGACCTGAGGCAAGTCTCTTGCTTCCCTTCAATTGCTATCTATGATCTCTATCTGTTTTCTTAACATAGCCTTTTGACATTGATTGATGAGCTTTAGAGTATATCCCAGTGCATATGGTTCTCAATAAAAGCCACTTCAAGAGACGGGCCTAGGGGCCTTCTCCACTAGAGGGAAGTGCCACTCCTTCCCCTGGCAGACCAAGAGAAAAGTGTCTGGGACAACTTATTTTATCACCCGGAGCGGCTTTGGGGAACAGTCCGCCCTCCACCTCAGCTGGCGCCTGAATAGGGACCTTCAGGACCCGGATCCACCTCATAATTACTTGTCCTTGAACTTTTTTATATGTATATTACTATATAGTCTTACTTGTTTAATACAGTCATGCTGTCATTATTTTACTTTACAGCTTCTGGGTTTGGATATGTTAGGGTAAGAAAAATATTATTTTGTATTTTCTCCTAAGACTCCTTAGATTTTACATTTTGGTTTTTAACTCACCTGAGTATTTCTTGTATAATGTGTGAAATAGGGTTCTGTAGTTTATTTCAAGTAATAGTGGTCCTTGCACCTTACTTGTTGAATAAGACTTATGTTCCCCATTGACTTGAAATATCAAACATATATGACATTATTAGACAGACATATACTTTTGTTTCTAGAATGCTCATTCTATTTCATTGATTTACTTGATTATTTCTGTGCTGGTGTCATGTTGTTTTAATTGCAGAGAATTATAATGCATTTAAATTTTTTAAGATTTCATAATGG